GGCTGTACGGAAACTTTACCTAATTCTCTAGCTTCGCACAGGTTTATATCCTTTTTTCGCCTTACCTGCGCACTTTTTCTTGATCTTGTCTAACTTTTCCTTCCTCCTTGCAGATAGTACTAATTTACAGCCGTGTTTGGTCAGTTCATATGCTAAATATTCACCAATTCCGCTGGAAGCGCCTGTAATCCAAACTACTTTGCCCCGCAATGCAACGCTGGGATCTTTCCCGATCTTTTCGTAAATCATTAATGTGAAATCCCCGTCTTGGTATTTGAAAAATAAGATACAAACAAGAGGAACGAGTAATGCAGCAGTCAAAAGATTTCGTCCCATTTCGATGAAAATTTGGTTTGATACGAGTGGCGTGGTACGATCGACAGCCTTTCGATCGTTCTAGGTCTGTGGGGGTCTGGTTACGGTCTGGTGCACATCTAAGTCACGTGTTTCAGCTAACATTCAATCGATTTCAACATACATGGGTTGTCTAATATATATATATATATATATCACGAGTCGTAAATCTGAATTTTCGACCTTTACAGTTCGTCCAATTTATTCATGAGACGTAAGGTTGTGTTGTTCCTCCGTGAATACATTAGCCCATCCGTGACGGAGTTCAGGCTCCTGCTCAGGCGAAAGCTTCTTAACAACTATTTTACTCAACCGCGTTCTCCAACCTCGTTCCCATGGCCTTTCCCATACTTAGGGGTAGGAAAAGGCCATGGGAACGAGGTTGTGTTTTATTTAATTTTTACTCAACCTTTGTCTCCTTTTGCGTCATCGTTGTCATATGTTTAGCTTTCTGTGTTCCTTTTTAATATTTTAATGTAACATCGACTCTGAAATGCCCCGTGGGAACGAGCCAATTAAGTGGGTATGTAAGTGTGACTATGTAAGGAGGTATTTGGGATCAGGGATCAGAAGCCTAGGATCGTGGAATAGAGCCATGGAATCAGGGCTCAGAGGCAAAATCCGGGATCGATACCATTTTGGACATGTCGAAAGAGGACCTCAAATTCTGATAGGGGCTCAAGTTTGAAACTTCATCAGCTTTAGAATCTCTTTTCGGTGGCCAATTTAAATTATCAACTCAGTTGATAAAACCAAGTTATTGTATTTAATTTAGGATCGTATCATTCGCTTTTTTATCAGTGAAAAAACCTCGTGTCGCCCCCTCAAAAAATGAGATGATAAATTAAAGTAAAATCAATGAGCTGTTGATCATTCACGTTTCTCCATTTTTGGGGACAGTTTCTTTTTCTTAATTTCAGTTCAAACTGGCTCCTTCATAAGTTCTAGATCTCTTCCGCCTTGATTGTCGCCACTGCAATTCCTTTGATTTGGTTTAATAAGCGTTAATCAGAGACTGCGGTTTGGATATCCCGTCCCAATATGCAAAGATTTCTCGGATCAATGTCAGCAACCGAGTACCTACCCCTCCTCCAACCCAACAAAAATCAAATGATAACAAGTAAGGGTTAATGTTGGGTTAGGGGAAGGGTGGGTACGTAGATGTTCAGGTAGTGATATTGATCCGATTTCTCTCATGATTTGATGTTTCGTGGACTCCTTTAATCACAGTCTTATTTGAAAACATACTACCACTCCTTAAATGATTTCACCTTCAGTCCTTTTTGCCACAGGAAAAAAATTTGGTAAAGGAGATTCAAGCAAAGAGAGCACAAACCACTCTCCGGCAAATGCGGGTCCACAAACGGAATTTTTTCTCTTACTTCCAGCCTGCGTTACGCCATCCAACTCTAGGATATCATATGAATATCAGAATATCTTATCAACAATGGACAATGTTTACGCTACCAAACTTCGCCAAGCCACTGCTCACGATGCAACTTGTCCATTATGGCGCTCCATCATATGCGGAAAAACGGCTTTGGTCTAAGAGAGCCGGTACCAATGAGATTTATATCTAAAAGTGTTCTATCAACCTCCAATGGATTATTCTTCCCCAAAGATGTCTTAGATCTTCCACCATTGTTCACTAATTCCGCTAGAAGTGCCAGTGATCCAAACAATTTCGTCCCTCAGCTTAACGCTGAGATCTTTCCCGATCTTTTCGTAAATTATTTGTGTAAAATCGCCATCTTAGTATTTTAAAAAAATTAAAGAAATAAGTGGCATGGCGAAAGTGGTAATCAAAAGATTTCGTCCATTTGCATCAATTTTTTGTTTGTTTGTTTGTTTTTTTTAAGAACATTTGGGGTCTGACTGATATGGGGGCCTGATAGGGTTAATAACGTTTCGATAGTTCTCAGAGACGTCACAGAATTAAGTTCTGCTTTGTTGGTGTACATCGAAGTTACATGTTCCAGCTACTAACACTTGCAAATTCAGTCTAAAATTTCAATCATCTCCTGTTTACAATAAAACGGCTTCTAGAAAAAACAATTTTTATTCCATTGTTAGATCCAGAAAATATAGTCCCAATCTCAATAAGACCGATCGAAGGATCTTGACAGAACGATGAACATAAAGCCTTTTCTACCAAGGGTCAACGAAGGAGGAAAGGCCCCGTTTCATAAGCATCTCCAAAGGAATCTGACGATCAGGAGGCACCTTTCCTGTCAGTGGGGAAGGGGTCATTATATGTTCAATAAACCCCTAACTCTATTCTCCGAGGAAAAAAGGTTAAAGGCTATTTCGTACTTAAAAGTAGTACTATAAAAAATGATTGAAAAATGTCCTTTAGTCCGACTTTGTATGTAGAGTGGAATTTAATTGGTCCACAATCGTCACTTACGCGACGAGCCCGGAGAAAGGTCATGTTTACCTTTTCACACCAGATACAATTTTTAATTAAATATTTTTCGTGTAATATCAATTGTTTTTAAAGTAACTTTAAATTAAAATTCCATCCAGAACACAAGAATTGGGTGTAAAAATAATAAGAAAGAGGTTCGTATATGACACCCATCCTGCAGACAGGATCAGCAATGTCGATAGCGTCATGTTTTTTAAATAGAATAAGAATGATTATTAGTTCTGAGCTCGGTAAAGATATAGAGAAAAATGTTTTCGTCTTGTCACGAGCGTGGGACTGGGAAAAATTCTGAGTCCCCATGAGGAATCGAACCTCAGACCTTCGGATTCCATGCTCCGATGGTCTACCTCTGAGCCACAGACACTCTATGTGAGCAAGGCCCATTACAAAGTTATATATGACAACCGCTTGCATACGCTAGGATAAAAATCGGGTATTTCGAAGTCTAATAGGCGACAGGCTACTGTGAATAAGCATGAAAAAGTCTGGAGAGAACTTCTAAAAGATCTATCTAGTATCACGCCCTACTAGCCTACTTGTTCAAATACTGATGTTTCAATCTTCCAGTATCTGGCATTTCAATTCTAAGAACAGCGCTTCAATTTTTACTGACAGACTTTTCTCGCAGTAGAAACTGCTAAGATTTTCCAGGGGAGCACAATTTTCTTCTTTTCCGTCACGTCTCCTGAGCTCGTCGCTTGTGCCTTTCCGATGATAACTTTGCCTCGTAGGAAGTCATCATTCTATCCATTGCGGCTTTTATGATCCTGGTAATAAAAAACAAACAATTATAAAAAAAAAAAGGAAAAAGAAAAAAAGTGAGCGGGTGGAATCATATACAGTAGCTCCCTAATCAGCTTTCTAAGATTTCACCATTCGTTGACCGGATTCTTCATATACTTTCAGATACTGACAGTGAAGTCAGTAATGAGCCCCTAAGC